GTGTGTGTGTGTGTGTGTACAGGCTTCCCATGGCACCCTGACTGATAGCGGTGTTTTCTCTCGAATGAGGAAGCAGGGAGAGATCTTTGGGGGGGGGGGGGGGGGGGGCTCTCTCCACATTCAGTGACCCTCTAGCTCCTCTCCAGACTCAGCTATGAAATCTGCCTGGGAATTTGGAGGCCCCCGGACAAGTTGCAAGGGCTCTGGGGCCACATTGGCTGCTGGGGGGGGGGGGTAGTAGTCAACCTTCCTCTTGGCAGTTTCCAGAAGTTCGTCCAGGTTCCCGGGCGTACCGAAAGAGGTTGAGCGATGCGACTGCGCGTGCATGCAGGATGGGACGAGGGGCCACGCGCTGATGCCATGTGATGTGCTAATATCCCTCACCGGCACGGCTTCAGCTGCAGTGCTGATCTTCAATTGTTGCATTGTCATGGCAGGGGAGGGGGCTGATTTGCAGCCAAGGAGAAGAGACACTGGAGAGAGGGCTTGCAAAAGATGGGCCCCCGCCTTCAGGAACCGGCCTCTCGCAGCTTCAGGATGTGTCGCGTGGTGGAGGCGTCTGGCCACAGTGCAGGAAACCACTGGCCACAGTACAGGAGATCACTGGCCACAGTGCAGGAGACCACTGGCCACAGTGCAGGAGACCACTGGCCACAGTGCAGGAGATCACTGGCCGTGTCCAGGATGCCTGTGCTGTCACCTCTCCACCCCCTTTCTCTCGGGATGAGCCGACGGAGGAATGGAATCTTTATGCGAAGCAGCTGTGAGCAAGGAGGACGGCTCTGAAAGCGGGGGCCCTCACTGCAGGAACGGCCCACGGCGTGCGGACGGGCCCCTCAGCTCGGGTGCCGATTGGTGCAGCCTCCAACACGGCCACTGCTTGACAACAGAGCCCGGCTGAAAAACCACACGGGCCTTGCCGGCCTTTGAAGAGGAAGACCTCCTCACATTCCGGGTCATCTGCACTGGGCTGCCATTGTCTGGCCCTGACCCCCAGCAGCGCGAGCTCCTCTCAGCGTGATCTACGACGTCCAGTCACTGCGTCGAGTCCTTTGTGGTGCTTGCACCTGGCCTGCATGGTTTTTCTGCCTGAGAACCTTTTATGGACGTAGTTATGCACGTTTGAGAACACGGGATGGCACTTTTCACTTCCTAAACTAGGCCTGGCCCTCTTCCTAAGATAACTATTACACAATACTCTCGGATGGGGGTTGGTGACACCACAGTGGGGTGGTAACACTCCTGGTGCATCATGCAGGTAGCAGATAGAGGTGATGAGCTTATGGATTTATGAAGGTCAGTGCTGGGCCCCTGAGTGAGGCCCTTAACTCCCAGTTGCTCCAGGGACTGACTGACGCCGCTTTTTCAAAAATGCACTTTGGATAAACAAAAATCACTTTGGATAAACAAAAATCACTTTGGATAAACCTCCTGAATAAGAAAAATGTGTCGACCACCAATCACAGACATGGATATTAATGAAAGTGTGACAGTCCCTCTGAGGGCGAATCGGGGGCTGGGATTCCTGGTCGTTGTCCCCTCTGTCTGCATAGCTCTGGGGCTTCGGAGCTTCGCTCAGCACAGGTCTCTGTGCTGTAGGGCCAATCAGAGTAGGGCTTGGTGAGAAGGGGGCGGGACATGCGGGGCAGGGTGTCCCATTATCTTTTAGTGGCTGGAGCAGATGGCCCCTGTGTGCTAAATCATTGCCGGTTTATCTGCCCTCCTTTTGGTTTTTGGATTTAACAATAGCAGACTGGGACAAAAACTGCGCAATAAAGCATATTTGCCAACAATGTTACCATGGTAATGGTGGCAGTAAAAATGGCAGCCCTTGTCACTTTTACGGCACAGCGATGGCCAGCCGGGGCATTTATGGACTCTGTGGCCTCACGCTGGGCTGATCCTTGACTCCGTCCCTTAGATGAGCCCAAACTGGCTGAAAGGAGGGCTGGCTGAATGATGGGTGCGTTTTTGGGGGCGGGGCGATGGCCCGCAAGCATGAGTCGGTCCAGCTGCATGTCTTCAACCGGGTTATTGACCACAGGTCCATTGACCGTCCCCCCCCATAGTGAGACGGTCACGTTGCAGCTGTTTGCCGCACACAGCCCCCGCGAGGAGCCCCGGCCATCATTGCTGCCACGCTTTTGCTATGAAACTCTGTGCTCACTCTTTTCCTCCTGCAATCAGATCCACCCCCAAAAGCACAGTCCTGACCTAAAAAAGAGACGTATAAGTGTCTCTGAGTAGCTCTGCATCTAGCGCTCATGTTAGTTCGACTTTTTCAGCAGTACTCCGCTTCCTAAGTCTCTTTTTCGCTGGTTTCTTAAGGAAAAGAAAAGCAGATGAAGTAGAACGAGAGTTTTTTTTTTTTCTTTTTTTCCTCCGTCATATGACCCATTCCAGCTGAAAGTCATTTCAACCTACAGGCCCAATGCTGTGCTGATGTAATGCACGCCAGCACCTTGCCGGGGGGGGGGGTCACCCTGGGTGTGACCCACTGGGGGAGAGCCTGAGGTGTGTGGGGGGGGGGTGGAGACAGATCTGGGACAATGCGTACTCAGCATTAATGTCCCCCCAGGCCGATTCGCACTGTCCCAGGAACAAAGCTCATGTGTGAGGGACGGTCTCCCACTCAGCCTCGAGGTTTGTCAGATCTTGTTTTGAAACTTTTAGTGGACCTAATGCAGAGCCACCACAGGGCATGTGGCTTCACCACAACGCCTAGATCTGCAGTGCTTTAACATACGCCGTTCTGCAGTGCTTTAAGACACGCCGTTCTGCAGTGCTTTAACACACGCCGTTCTGCAGTGCTTTAACACACGCCGTTCTGCAGTGCTTTAACACACGCCGTTCTGCAGTGCTTTAACACACGCCGTTCTGCAGTAGGAGAGTCTGCAGGTTTGTGGGTTTCCATGACCATTTAAAATGTGTCTCTTATTCATGGGCGATTCTAGGACATTTTTTTAAGGTGGGGGGCATAACAGGAGCCATAATTCATACAATGTGGCCAACCTTAAGAGCCAATGAAATGTTTAGAATCAGTGAGCGACAGAGGAGGGGCAACTCCGGGGGCCAATCAGCTTTTACCTCTGGTCATTAGTCCTGTGCCCCCCCATCCGTCTGCACCCCTGTTCTTATTCTTCCATTCCTTGCAGACTCAGTGACAGGAGGCCCATCCTGCCCCCTGTCCCTCACCCTTGGCCTGGGACGGTCATTACCGTCTGTCTCACACTTGATGCAAAGTGTTTGGCTTCCTTGCGCTAGGGAACCCGGGTGACTTGTATCCGGAAAGATCCGTGGCAGTAAACTGACTTCTCTCTGGAATCTGTGCACAGTACAAATAAGTAACAGACATTTTTCCGCAAAATGAGCTGCCCGTATTTCACAGTCTCCTGCTTTCTGGCGGATGTGATTTCAAACCAGATACAGAATTTTTCAAATATTTTAAAAACGACTGACGCGGCAGTTTAACTCGTGAGGGCTGGAGCTGAGCCGAATGCCCCCCTGTTCAGATGGGATGGCTTTTGATTCGTTCTTCAGTCGCGTTTAAATTAAGAAATTTCTTTGTAAAATGTGTCCCTCCACTTTTGTCGTCACCGTGACCATGAAATTCCACGACTCATTACGACAAAGCTGATTAATGGTTATTCGCTGATTAGAGTCATGTGAGCAGTGGCCAATCAGACGACAGCATGTCTGTGTCTCGAGCTTAAACATGCATAGCTCTTTCCCATGACATGTGACCTCTACTGTAAACGGGGCTGTCAGTCAGCCTGTGCTGCTGCTGTGTACGTGCCTGTCTGTGCCTGCATGCTGACCCGCCGGCTCCCCCCCCCACCTCACTGTCTTCCTTGGCTGGCTGTCTCTCTCCGCAGGCGTTTTTTGAGGATGCCGGCTGCTGACACCATGACTGGTGGGCGGGCACTTCTGTTCTGCACAAACGCTGACAACTGTATCTACCAATCGGTCAACGGGTAAGTGTTCTAGGGGGCGGGGCCTCTTTCCTCAAAATAAATCTTTAAAGTAGTGCTTCTCAACTGGGCCTCGAGGACCAACCAATCCCTGGCCAGTAAATCATGACCTAGACTGATGATAAAAGTTGAC